AGGCCTATTTTCTGGTCAGCTTATCGTCTGGTGTTTAGCTCCTGATGGAATTGTATCTTCTTGTATATGAATCCTGGTAAAAAAAATTAAAATGTGGAGATTAATGTTTAACTCTTAAAGTTTAAGTGCAGAAGCTGATAAATGACATAAAGACTCCGGAACCAGGACTTGAATAGATGGAAATAATTTGGGATACCTTTAAATATCACGTATTTAATTAGCACTGTGTGGTGAAATAGGTGTTGGTTTTGACTTTGTGATCACATTTCAAATGATCAAAAATATCATTTTTAACTCTTTCACGGCACAGTTAATATTTAACTATTACTTGACTTGAGTGAGGGAATAAAGCCTCAAAAAGAGACATCAGTTAACATATATTTTCTTAAAATTTATGGGCGATAAACACCGTCATAAACCTGTACTAATCTCCCCAGATGTTACACGTGATCACGCTTTGAATTTCTCTTGAAGTCACTAACAACCGAACGTTATGTGATGAAAAGATCAGCACGTGAGTTAATCACTGTTTATTCCCGGGTCTGGAGTGTTATGAAACTGTAAGGAAATGTTTCATAACATTTCACCTTTTAATAGTTTTGTGTAATTTTGGTGTATTAATCTTAAAACTTGTTTTTCTGTGAGAGAACAGGAAAATAAATTATAACGTAAATTCATGCGGATCGTATTTCAAGTTTTAATGTGATTTTAAAAAAAAGCACTGATCACTCTCCAGTATAGAAAGTAAAACTCTCCAATTGATGAGTTACATGCACAAAAGTTAAAGTTGTTCTAACCAAGCACGTGACAACCGTGGAAATGGGACACTGGTGCATTGCCAACATGGCCGCGACTCGAAATATCAAAGATTGCCAAATAAAATCAGTTAGTTCTGCTTGAGTTAGATGCGTCACGTGCGCCCTCCTGAAGTTTCTCGAACATTCAGTAACCAACAAACTGACACTTATGTAAATTACTTGTAACACTGGCTACCAATTATGGAACAATAAAGTAATCAACAGCACGAGTGGAAATGGGTAAAACTGCATTCCAACCCTCACCCCATCTACCAATTCCTTAAAATATACAATTAATATTTACGATTTTACGTGTTTTTCGCATAATTTTCGTTTGGTTTATCTGTAAGCCGAAATATTTTTTGTTTGTTTGTTTCCCTTCTTTTGGTTTCGTTTTTATCACGTCTTAGTCCTTAATTTTTATGTTAGCGCTTTGAATTGTGGGCAGACGACACTAGAGCTTCGTAAGAAAAATGTGTGAAAATTGATAAGTATTTAATAAGACGATTGCAGGGTGACAATTGATGATGAAAACGATTACAAATCACGAAGAAAAATAAAAAGTGACAGATGAGTTGGAATACACGGGGAAATATAACTCAAAACATCGCTACTGATTTTACTAGTATTGTTACTTGCTGACTATATCTGTAGTATTGTTACTTGCTGACTATATCTGTAGTATTGTTACATGCTGACTATATATGTATGAAAGTATTCCTTCAAATATCGCTACTGATTTTATAGTATTGTTACTTGCTCACTATATTTGTCTGCGGACTTATTCCGCTAGAAACCGGGTTTCGATATCCGTGGTGGGCAGAGCACAAATATCCCTTTGTGTAGCTTTGTGCTTAATAACAAACAACAACAACGACTATATCTGTAGGAAAGTATTTCATGCTGAGTTTCAGAATGTAAAACTTCCCATTCAGTATTATTTATAGTACTGATTGTTAATAGTAACATCAAAAGTAAATTATTAGTCACGTCATGAAAAAAAAATGCTTCTATCGAATTAACATAAATGTTTGGAACGATCAAATCTTTACCTCGCGGATGTTAAAAACCCGCGAGCTCCGAGGGACTGGACCTCTTCCCTAAAATGTCTACCCCACCACCACCAAATGATTCACCTCTGGATATTGTAGCTCACAAGAAGTTTTATAAATACAATATTTAAAAAAAACATTAAAGTACATGAATCAACATTTCTTCCACCTGGTGTTCTGTAAGAGGAAGATTGCTTGACCTTTAAACTTAGAAAGGCAATTTGAATTTGAATTCGGTCAGTGAATGCCACCTCACGACATGGTTAGCTCCTGATGAAATTCTACAATTATTATATAATATCTATTTGTATATGTTTTTTTGTTTAGTTTTAGGTTATCTGCGCTCTATTAACCACGTAAACTTCTCACTGGAGAACATTTTAACACGAATCGTATTTAAACAATCATTTGTTATAAATTAAGTTAATTTAGGTGTTACTTTTAAATACGGTGTACTGGATTGGCGCTGAGCAATGAAAACGTTTCTGTTTGTGATGAATTTAGTATTGTAAAAAAACACCGAAACTGAGGTTTATGTCTGACTACTACTTATTTGAAGATACAACTAACTGTAATTTTGAACATTTCACGATTTCCCTATATGGTAAACTACAATGATATTTTGAGCTTGCAAATTTCCATTAACTATTACAGAGGGTTAATCTCGATTTATATGGACGATTTGTATATAAGCGGCACTTTAGCTCCTGCATATTTTATTCAAGGCGAATTCCTGACCATGTGACAGTGCAATGGTGTTAGAGTAGGCGTATGACTGTAAGAATGTGTGTCAGCCTTTGAAGCAAGAATATTTATATAGCGAGATTGTTGAAAGACGTAGAATCAAAGGACATAGTTCTTGAAAAAAAGAACCACCAGTGTCCTCCACGAAAGCGAAAAGCAGAGCGCTCAGGACAGAAACGGGTTCCAAAGTACACATCAAACCAATTCATAACAATGTCCTCAACCACAAAGTGAAGACTATGGTTACAAAAGAAGACTCTGCAACTCAAAAACGAATTGTATGAAACTGGGCATAACTCTTCATATTGTTAACACGATAATAAAAAAGATTAGGAATTGACAGAGGCCATAGATTTAGAAAAACAACAACCGTTTTCAACAGAAAGACGGCCGAAGGAACTGGAATCACAACAATCCCATTAGGTTACATACCTCTCAAGTCCTGCAATGTAGTTCCAATGAAGTTTTGTTCCTTTGAACTACTTAAACGTGATCTTAGAAGCTGACGTATACTTATAATGGAAGAGCCATGAAACGTTTGCAAAAGGCTGAAGCTGGTATTACAAAAAAAATACACGCAACGAGAGGTAAGGTGAAAGTTCAAGGGGGAAGGGAGGATCTTTTGAAGCTCTTGGATTTTATGATGAAATGGTCTTGAATCTTGTCAAAAGAAAGTTTAGTGGCCATCAGTTTATTTTATTTTAATTTTAACATATTTTTATTTTTGTTATTTACAGCGTTGAACTATACAGAAAAGCATATTCTGTGTAACGAGAACAGCGCCCCCTGGTTTGTCAAAGTGTATGGTAAAAGATTGGCCTCGCCGTCCATCAGAGAATCGTATTGTAGTAGAAATTGTAATGGCATGCAATAATATGTTATTATGATCTTCAGACTAAGCATGGTCAGTGATGAAAGAACAGCAAAGACCTAGAACATAATTATTTTAAAGTTTGATTAACCTCAGTATTTCAATGTGTATTCTAGTCCAATGCATGAATATTAAATGTAAGATGGAAGACAATGCCGGAGTACTGAATAAAAAACGTAGTGCCTAAGTGCTGAGAGAAAAATATATGCTTACCAAAAACTTACGAAATAAAAATCATACTGTAGCAGTATTTCTCATACGAATTCGATGGCAACGTACGTTTACATAATCAAATTGGCCCGGCATAGTCAGGTGGTTAGGGCGCTCGACTCCCAATCTGAGAGTCGCGGGTTCGAATCCCCGTCACACCAAACATGCTCGCCCTTTCTGCCGTGGGGGCGTTATAATGTGACGGTCAATCCCACTATTCGTTAGTAAAATAGTAGCCCAAGAGTTGGCGGTGGGTGGTGATGACTAGCTGCCTTCTCTCTAGTCTTATACTGCTAAATTAGGGACGGCTAGTGCAGATAGTCTTTATGTAGTTTTGCGCGAAATACAAAACAAACAAACAAACATAATCAAATATGCAAAAGGGCTGTATCCGACTCTTTAAACATAACGACGGATGTCAGTCATTTTTTTAACACGTCCACTGCTGAAAGTGAGGACCGTATATGTAACAGCATCATGTCTTTAACACAGGGTTCTTCAATTTGCTGCCCATTAAGCTGACCAATACAGCACATACTCGGCTTTTTAAAAACTTGGCACCTAATCTAAGTGTCGTCATCTAGCTGGCAACAAAGTTCGGGAAACATCCTACTCAACCTTTAAACTTGTGACCTTCTGAAAATTCTTCTTATATTACTCCCAACATCTGGTTCACTACATCCACCTAAACAAACAAAAAATAAGTTTTCAATTTCTAAATAGAAAGAAGTTTATAATTTCGAGATATATTTCCTATTTAAATGTATCCCCAAATAAGATATTTATAAATTAGAAAAACGAGTGATATATTTTCATGTTATAAACAATGGGAGATATCTGTAGTTTAAATTAGATGGTAAGTAAGATTGTTATCATTTTTATAAATATTAAATTTATTTTTTTATTTGTTTGTAATTAAGTACAAAGCTACAAAATGGGCTATCTGTGCTCTGCCCTTCACGGGTATCGAAACCCGGATTCTAGCGTTGTAAGTGCGCAGACATACTGTTG